TTGTCTAGATCCCTCTGTAGAGCCTTCTTGCCCTCAACCAGATCAACACTCCTGCCCAACTTGGTGTTGTCTGCAAACTTACTGGGCGTTTGCTCAGCCCGCTTGTCCAGATCATTGATAAAGATAGTGAACAGAACTGGGCCCTGAGGAACACCAATTGTGACTGGCCACTAAATGTATTTAACTCCATTCACTGCAACTCTTTACATCCAGCCATCCAGGCGCTTTTTTACCCAGCGAAGAGTATGCGCATCCAAGCTATGAGGAGTTGGTTTCTCCAGGAGAATGCTGTGGGAAATGGTGTCAAAGGCTTTTGCGGATGGCATGCACAGCCTTTCCCTCATCCACTGTGCGGGTCACCTCATCATAGAAGGAGATCAAGCGTAGTGTGAAGCATTACTATATAATGTCCTCTAAAAAAGGATACTGAAGAGATAAACCAGACTGAGTACGATAGTAACTAGTTATACACTATGTCATCTCTGGTTTCTAATCTCAAGGGCTTTCCAAATTCATGGTGATTGTTCCACAGTCAGAATCTGGAGTAATAAAACCTTCAAACAGCAATTTCTCCTTTTTGCATTTGGTCTTGCAGCACTAGCCTAACTCTCCAAACTCCTCTTAAATTTTATTATTGGTGATCATTTTTTGGTTATCAAGACATATTAGTGAGTTCAAATTGTGGAGATCTGTTGAGAGCTTTTGATTTTAGAGCAGAACCAATTATTACTGAGCATACTCCTCCAGCTCTGACAAGAGGGTTAAGTGGCTTGATTCATATTCACATTTATGCAGTGCTCATATACAATAAGGTAAGTAGCAGATATTGTCTGTCAGAGACAGGGAGAAAGGACGTGCATGTCTCCCAGTTTTGTAAACTACTCGTCAGATGAAGCAAATTCCTGATGCGTGCACACATGAGCGTAAGCAGCACAAAACCAGTCCTTTTGCTTTTTTAGGCACATTGCTACATCAGTGCCTGAGACTTAGGGCTTCACAGGTCTGGTTTTCATAATCTGCCAGAGATGTACATGATTGTTAATATGAATAAATTCTTATATATGAAAATCGCTAATTATGCAATTAATTGATCACTTCCATTTCTGCCCTTTTGAAAATAATGCATAAATACACTGGTTAAATTGAAAACTAATATGGAGATGGAGATAGTGGAAGATAAAACAGATTTCACTGTATTTTAAAATGGTAAAAGTATATCCAAATGATTGCATAGGTTTTCTAATTTATTTTTATTTTTTTAAGAATGTCTCTTACATAATAATTATTTTGTTTCTTATATAGTGATTATTTCCTTTCTCAGAGTATATTACAACATTTGCCAGCATAGCACAGGTAGTAACTGTAAACCATACAATTCATTTTAAAAATAAGACGACCCATCACTCCCCAAGTGACCCTATCAATCAGGTTTTTTATTAAATCAGGGAAGATCTATTTCAAATTGTTCTCCATTCTGTAAGTATGAATACAAAATTTTGCAAGGCTTGATAAAAAAGACTCCATTTAATCAAAGTTCTCCAGGAAGGCATATTCCCCAGTGTATTTGTCTTTTTTTTTTCTTCCTCGTCATTTATCCTGTATTTTATGTCTGGCATTCTAGAAAGCAAATATTTTTTAGAGCTTCTAAAACACCTCAGGCTGTGCCTACAGCTACAGATATGTAACCATATGGTTCCTTAATTACTTAAATCACTATGTAAGGCCTGAGTGCTAACGTTCAAAATATATTTCACTCTTGTGTTAGCCCAATGAGATTCATTTGATAGTTTGTAACCTCATGACTTTGGCATTGCTTATTTTGCTAGTGTAGCATTTCCTTCGCAGCTCTCAACATACACGGGTCATTTCTCAGACAGATACCTACTGACTAAAAACTGAAGACCCTTCGCACTTGAAAACCTCACTGCATTGTTATTGTTTATTGTATATGTCTATGTTTCTTCCTTTCTGCAGTTTTGCAGATGATATAAAAGTAGGAGGAATAGCTAATGCACTGATGGTTGTCCTACCATCCAGAGGGACCTCAACAGGCTGAAGAAGTGGGTCAAAAGAAACCTCACGAAGTTCAGCAAAAGGAAACAGCGAGTCCTGTATCTGCAGAGGAATAAACTCTAGCACCAGCACAAGCTAGAGGCTGACTGGCAGAAAGCAGTGCTGCAGAGACCGACCTGCGGGTCCTGGCAGACAACTACCTGAACATGAGCCAGTAATGTGTCCTTGTGGCAAGGAAGGACAACAGCATCCTGGGCTGCATTAGGAAGAACACTTCCAGCAAGTCAAGGGAGATGATCCTTATCCTCTGCTCAGTCCTAGTGAGACACACCTGAAGTGCTGGGTCCAAGTGCAGAGCTCCCCAGTACAAGAAAGACATGGACTGTGGCAGTGAGCTTCTCCTACCTCTGACATGACCTTTTCCTGTAACCCTGCTCAAGCAATAACCACCAGTGACAGTCATGGTGGATGCATCTGCTTATGATGGCTGCATCTGGCTGAAAGTGGATTCGGGGAAGACAGGAAACAACATAATAGCCAAAGGCTAATTTATGGTAATGCATCTACCTGGCCACAGTGCTGGTCGGCGTTCGACTCAAGCCAAATTTGGAAGAAACTGGCATCTGTAGTAAGTATGAAAATATGACTATAATTCAATCATCTTGCTCCATAAATAGTGAGCAGCCCCTGGGCTGCACACCAGGATTTCCTCATGAGTAGGGTCGCCTCTCAAGGTTACTCCTTGAGGTTGAGAGATTCCTTGCCGCTACAGATCCTCAGTAAGTGACTAATAGCTGGCTAAACTGGGAAGGCTTTGCTAAGATTATATCTTAGATTGATTGTGCATATATAATCCTTTAGACATAAACCATTTACTAAGTCCGAGACTAGAACTGAATCCAGCCACACTTAGGCTCCTCTCTGAGGAGGAGTTTAGAAAGCAAGGGGGTCCTTTCTGAACATCATGACACAACAGGAGGGTCTCCCTGACAGTTTTGTCTGATCCTGTTCTTTATGCAGCAAGTAACCAAGTGTACCTTGCCATCAAATCTTGTCAAACTACTATTGCATTCACCTTTGAACTTTGTTAACTCACTGTCTTATATCAATAAAACACGTTACTGCTTCTCTTTTGTGAGTGAAGTGCATCACTCCATCCACAACATGGACATACTCGAGTGAGTTCAAAGGATGGCTATGAAAATGATTAAGCAGTTGGAGCATCTGACATATGAGGAGAGGCTGAGAGAGCTGGGACTGTTCAGCCTGAAGAAGAGAAGGTTGAGGATCTTATCTGTTTGTACGGATACATGGATTTAACTGAGGAAAGAGGACAGAGTCAGGCTCTTTTCAGTGGTGCCCAGTGATAGAACAAGAGGAAATGGGCACAAACCAAAACACCAGAAATTCCATTTAAACATAAGAGAAAGCTTTTTCTTTTTTTCTTTTTTTTTTTTTTTTTATGGTGAGGGTTATTAAACACTGGTGCAAGTTGCCCAGAGAGGCTGTGGAGCCTCCATCATTAGAGATTTTTGTAACTTGAATGGACACAGCCCTGAGCAACCTGCTCTAGCTGACTCTGCTCTGCAGGGGCTAGGACTGCAGACCTTGAGAGGTCCCTTCCAGACTCAAACACTACATGATTTTGTAACTCTGCAACATTACATTTTTAAAAAATAACACCTAAAGACTATTTACTTCTTTCTCTCTACAACTAAGTTTCAAGTTTGGTAAATGACTTTCCAAAAAATGCTGCATTTTTTTGATCTTGTCCTCTGAAATATGAGGGGAAACCAAATTACACAGCCACTTCCTAGTGAAAGAATGAAAATAACCTTATATTCGGTAAAGGGACAAAAGCATTCATTGCATTTCATGAAAAATAATAAACCCAAGCATTCCTACCCTATTTCAGTAGGATTGAAGATTATTGAAAAATTTTGACATTAATTTTCCTGATGCTGTGTCCACCACTTGCACACTGGAAAACACTGTCTTCTGTACTTTGTTAGAGGGAATCTTTTATTTCATATTTGACAAAGTTATCTTTTATTCAGTGGTATTTTACGTTCCTAAGGATCACCATGCCGGGAATATGAGAATGGATAAAATGAGGAGGGCTGTTTGCTAAGCTGGAATTTTTCTTTCTACAAGATTATCATGTTGCAACAAAAGCAGTATCTTTCAGTATTGTTGTGCAATACCACCTGGAGAAAGTGTATTACAATAAAGAAGACTTTAAACACATTTTAAGTCTCCATAGAATAAACAGGTTTTGGACTACTAATTTTCTCCAGATCTGCATTAAAAGAATACAACTAAACTCTGTCCTTTTAACTAAGTCTCTCCTTTTCCAAATCAGTCTTCAATTCAGAAAGTCTCTTGTGCATTATTTTCAAAACTCTCTTCTCCCACTCAGGCTTTTCTGCTTGAAATCTTGTCCTCTTCTGACTGTTGTGGAACTTGCCTATCCCAAACTCAATCCAGTTCCTCATTTTTCTTTTTAAACCTAACTGTCTTCTTCTACTTTTTCTGTAATGAATACACTGGACTCTGCTGCTGATTCTCCCATCTTCTCTGTATCTTCTTCCTGTGATCTCACTCACTCCATGTTATTTAGCTCTCATTCATGATTTCTGACTGCTCACAAAACACTCTTTTTTTTTTCCTTTCTATTCTGCTTTCCATCCATGATAATAAAGTACTACAAATTGACACCCTTCCAAAACTGCATCTCTGGGCAGTTCAAGAGTGTATCTGCTAGTCTTAAAACTCCACTGAGTGGAGCATGTACTCTGGTTTAGCTGCTGTATTTGACAAGCAAAGCTCTTACTTTACTGCCTGTGTTTGAATTGAAAGTCATAAAAAGTTTACTATTAAGGAACCAAGTTTTGATCTTCTTGGTCACAGAGTACATTACAGTTTTGGAGCAAAAGCAAGGAGACAGTTTCTGACAAAATTTTTAAATATCATCAGAGAATGTTCACCTTTATATATGCCATTGTATCCTCCATGGACTTCTCCAGAACTGGAGATTTCTTCAACATGAGCCCCTTGGTCAGACGTAAAGTATACAAGAGTTTTATCACTCATATTATGTTTCTTCAGCACATCTAGAACCTGCCCTAAAAAGAAAAAATAAAAATAAAATAAACAGCTTTAGTGTCTTCAAGTGGCTTTTTCATTACATACATGGTGGCTTTGGTACATACAAATATTTTTTTCTTTAAGCCTTTTTAAGATCACTTTCTCTATAAACATTATTATACACAGTAATTGGCACCAACAGGATACAGTAGGGGACAATTGCACAAGGCTTGTTGCAATCAGGACCACGGTTCAATTGCTGCAGGGTTTCTTGAAGTATAAAATGAGAAGATTTGTGCACATCAGAGAAAAGTGCTGATCCACAGAGAGCCAGTGACCTTTGGATGCAGTTGTTCTCAATCAAGGAAACCCCTCAGCAAGAAGATTCAAACTGCTGAGGATATCTGAAGGAGTCTCAGCATGCAGAATAGAGCTAACAGTTTGGGAGTAAAGTTTTGCTGCCTAGCAACCTACAGAGGCAGCATGGTAAAAATCTCAGTGTGAGTGTTAGAATAAGACTTTCTTAGAAAAAAAAAATTAAGTTAATGTATGGAGTGCCTCTGGAGGCCACATGGTTTCATTATCAAACATACTAATTAGTCCCTAATTTCTCATCATATAATAATAGACATCAACTAAACTCAAAATGTGCAAGGTAATAAAGCCACACACATGCACATATTGAAAAGAGGAATCCACATGGATATGCTCTGAAACTCCAAGGCACTGTGCACTCACATTTCATTTTTCACAAAGGGCTCCTCACACTGCTTTGGCACTGTGGAGAGCCTTGCAGTGCACATAAATTACATCCAAACTTATTTAGACTGAGTTCTACAAAGAGGGTTTCTGTGTGAATGAGTGAAGCCACTCTTTGTAACTTGCTCCAGTGAATTTTATACTTATTGGGAATATAAAATTATTGGTCCTGGAAACTGACCAAAGTTTGAGAATATCCTTCTTTACATCAGCCTGCAAATGAGCTTTAACCTTGTCCATTAGGGATCTCAGAGCATATAAAGATAATTCTGTCTTCATAACCATTTTATCTTTATTCTTTTTTACTTAAACAATCAAGAATGGTCCCATCTGAATGTTAATTTTGATTTGCTCATCTGTCCACTAAGAATAAATTCATTAGCTGATGCCCAATTATTGTGTCAAAGAGGATGAGATAAGAATTTTGAAATATGAGCCTTCAACAATTTTCAGAGCATCATTTCGGTTGCTATGCTCTTTTTTTTGGATAAGGAGTAATTACATTCCTTATTGCTACTATTTCTACTTGTCTTTTAAGGTTATAGCATTTTAAAACTGGCTTGTTAAAAAGGTTGACTGTCTTCATTTCTCATCAGCTTAAATGACTGGGTCATGAATAAAGGAACATCAGCAGTTAAATAAGTGATACGTGTTGGTCTTGTCTGTAAACTAGGAGTGAAGAAGAAATGCAAGAGTAGGAGAATTTGTTTATGTAAATTTTGAAACCTTGTGGGAGTTGAAATTTCCCAACAGAATTGAGGAAAATCTGTTACAAAGGCTGACATTTTAAAGTTAGTGGGTTGAAGAAAAATCATGCAGATCCATCTGACATGCCATTCGCTTGCTGCAGCAGGTGGACTTAGTGCCAGGAAAGAAAGAGGCAATTTCTAGTTGGCTTGTGAGATTGTTTGGAGAATGTACTTGCTAAGTAATTATAATATCTCTTGGAAAGGTGGCAATGATGATAAAAAAGTGGAGCGTATAGACAAACTAGGACATTATATGTGAGTATCCTGCACGTGACCTCCAGAGTTCCCTTCCAATCTGTATCAATCTATTATTTTATGATTCTTGATAATAATAATAATAAATGGGATTGCATAAAGGACTGCATGTGCAATGACATGCACAAAAGCATTTTTCTACCTTCAGTTTTCCTTGATGAAATTGGATTTTCAAATTCAACAAAATGAAAATAAAACAAGAATTCCACTCAGTATATTGCAGTAAATGATCTCTGCTGATCAGAGACATTTGCTCTCATTCAATAATGGCCATTTTGATTTCCTAATTCATCTAGGAAAAAAATGAGAAGCAATGAAAAATGTCTCACTACCATAATTAATTAAATAAAGAAGCCATCATTATGATGACTTTTTTTTTTTTCTGAAATGAGGTTGAGTAGCTTCACTTGGCCTGAAAAACAAAGTCAAAACAAATTCTGACACTCGAATGCTACCCATTTCAGAAAAAACACTCCAATAAAATGCATAGGAAGTCTCATCCAAAGCTTGTTGACTCATAGTACAACTTCCATTTCCTTCATTTCAATTTTTAAACACAAAGAGGATTAACTACATTAGAGTTAATTAAAAAATGCTAAAATTACAATTTATTTTAGCAACATTTTTCAGTACAGATGGACTAATAGTGGTAATTCAAATAGCTATTGTCAGAGAATGGCAATTACAATGTACTCGTAGAAATGAAGCAAAACTTCCATTTCTGTTTTCATCTTGAACACTCACACCTTCTAGAATGAAAAGCAATAAAGTGTGTGCCTCCAGGAGATAAGCCTCATTAAAGTGCATTTGAATGATGTGGCTACTGTTAACACAAGCAATACATTCACTTATTAGCATTTCTAAATGGTAACCAATACAGAAGCAAAATGCAAAGAATGTATTGTGTATCTCTATGAACAGATATCTTTCACATGCAGTATTATCAATTTTGGAGGCAAACATTGCAAAGTAGGCAAAATATATCCTCTACTGTTTTCTTACAACAATTTAATTTCTTTTTTACTCTAACTGCTCCACTCTTATTATTTCTGTAGATTTCACAGACTTTAGAATTAAGTTAAAATTGATGTATAAACATTCTCAGGCAATGCCAGTTAATGAACAAGGAGGAGTTTCGTCTAACCTATTTTAGCTGCCTAATTTTGGAAGAGGTGAATCACAACTGCAAAAGGCATTTTTAACCTATTGACTAAAAAAAGAGAAGACAGGCAACTAGCTCAAAACTAAATGCCTTCATATTAGACAGCAAGGACAGTAAAGATGAATCCTACTCAAACTGCTAGACATGAAACTACATGAGCAACACATTTTAATGAGTGTGCTGAACAGATAAATGATGTCTGAGTAAGAGAAGATGGTAAAATTGTATTGCTTCACCCATAAAATATGATCGGAAGGGTATCATATATCATGTGCTCTTGAGTTACAAGAATGGGGCTTCAGCTGGCTTAGTCCCATTGCTGGTTGCAGAAAGCAACACAAATTTTAAGAGACCTTTTGGATGTAAAAAGATTATATGTAATATGAAACTGTAGGATAAATAAGCCAAAACCCTGGGAAAACTGTAGCTCTGTTTAAGCAACAATAGCTTGCTATTCCCAGTGTAGGAAATTATCAATAAAAATTCTTGATTGAGGAGACTCACTTGAAAACCATGTTCTAAAAAATTAACAGCTGCACTGATCTCTGTGGATGCTATGGTTTACATTTTTTCTGATTTGAACAAAACAGATTTTGAAAGACAACATTTCTGAACAACAAAATCCATCTAGCACTGAACGAGCTGCATAATTTCTGAAGCTATTCGGCAACAAGAATTTCAGATCAAGTTTCTCCTACTATTGTCATTCTAGGAATGTATACCCCAACATAGGTGGCTAACATTGTAGCAGACAAAGGCACTAGATCATTGGACAGCTTTCTTTCATTTGTATTTTTTAAGATACAAACCAGATTAAGGACAGCATTAACATGCTACTTGTTTAAATTACTACATAAATGTTCCAAAATTTCAGTAAAGCTTCCTTGAAAATATAGTTAAGGCTGCTCTTTATATTCTGCTGTCCACTCTTGCTTCTAGCTATGTTAAATTATAAACAGTTATTTTATTCTTAAAGTGAAAATGCCAATTTCAATGGAGTGATAGCCATGTGAAAGTGAAAAGAGTAATTCACTCTGTTCTTTAGAAGGAAACTGAGAGTGTCATGCCACTATTCAACACAGCATGAATGGTAGCTGAATCAGCCTCTCTAATGCTGAGCGTAATTTCTGGAGTTTTGAACCATGTAAAACTCCTACTGTACTCATCTATATTAAAATACAGGGTTTATAAATAATTATTATTCATTTGAAAACAAGGTACAAACATTGGAAAACAATAGTGTGTTTAAAAATGTGTTAGTGACTTGGAAAATTGTTCAAAGGTTTAGTCAAGTAAGAAAGAAAAAAATGCATTTGATTCATAAATTAGCTTACTATCATTTGAAGTCAATAGGACAGAAATGTTATTTGTATTAATTTGAAATAATGTAGAGTCTTTCTGATATTATTAATAAAAAGCTTTAAAATTCAGAATATCTCTGTATAATCTAGGTGTCAGGACAAGATATTCTCTCTATTCATGAGGAAAGCTTTAAAGTAGTTTGTCAGATTTGAAGAAACAACAGGATTCAGAAGGAGGGTTAAGGATCTGCCTCAGGACAAGACAGTTGATGATAAAGAGAATTCCTGTAAATATAACATTCTTTTCCCACTCCAACACTTTCACATGCCTCTGTTGTATCCAGAAGGCTACAGTAAGCTTGAGAAAATTATTGGACAGAGAGTGATCTGGGAAGATCAGTCATCACATCTCTGCCTAGAAGAGGCAGTTTGTTTTGGGTTTGCTTTTTTTTTTAATTTATTTGCTGTTTCAGAATTCCCTACTGATACTAGTAGAATAGAATAGACTGTTTCAGTTGAAAGAAACCTACAACGATCATCTAGTCCAACCGCCTGATCACTTCAGTGGCGACCAAAAGCTAAAGCATGCTTTTAATGGCATTGTCCAAATGGCTCTTAAACACTGACTGCCATGGGACATCAACCAGCTCTCTAGGAAGTCTGTTCCAGTGTTTGACCACCCTTTCAGTAAAAAAATGATTCCCAAAGCATATTCAGAATAGCATCATTAACCAGAATCAAAACTAACTTGTAGTCAGCTGAAGGGGTTCATCTCTGTAACTGGCAAGCCAGGAGTGCTTTGAATACACACA